GACACTCTTGTGTGAACCCAAATTTAAGTACTGCTTAACCACAAAGGATGCCCCAGTGATTAGTTTAGATGTGCTCTATTGGCTTCAGTTTATACATGGGGAAGGAAATTCAAAGATACCATCATGTTTCACTTTTTCATAACTCCTATGTAGCCTAATTCCAGCTCTGGTACATGTTCGGTAAATGTAGTAGAGAAATTTCTTGTAGAAGCAGTAGGATTTTTAATTGTATGTGTTCTGTAATTATGGAAGTCTTTCAAAATAATGGTACAGGGACAGTGTAAATGATAAGGATACACTCTGATCAATAATTGTGTGTCAACTACACAGAAAATGTTCAAAATAAATATCTTCTTTAATGAAGGACAATGAAAACATCATAATTATCATAAACAAGAACAGAAATGATAGTAAACAGTTTATTTACTTTTTGGCCATCTGAGCAACAATGCAAAAGACTTTGTTTAGCAAAGAAAACTGTGTTGGAATCAAATAAAGGTAAACATAGAGAAAATTATTTCCTACAAAATATATTCTACAGTTATCTTCACAAAAATACAATGATACAAAAGCATCCAAATCCAGTTTCTCAGTGAGATGCATTTAATTCTAATCCCAGGCTTTATGAGTTATTATTATGTTCAAAAACAAAACTGACATTAAAACCATTTACCCGGAGACAGATTGTTTTCAACTTCAAGGTTAGAGTCAGAAAAGCAAAGACCCATCATTTCATGTATTTTGTAGTGTATGAGACTGTGAAATGGAAACTTACTATTATTGAAATAAGAACACATTAGTATAAGTTATCCCATGTAATTTGTCCCAAGTGTGTGTGTATGTATGCATGTGTATTTTGCACATATGCATATCTATGTTTACATTTGTATCTATATGGATATTTATACGAATGTGTGTCCATTCTTTTTGTGTTGACGTTCCTGTTTAAATTGTGCATTCACGCAGCTTTTATAGTGATGCCCACTGTTACCTTATCTCTTTGACTGACAGTGATGGGATTTCAGGCACGCTCAACCTTTCCAACAGTGCCAGTGATGGGATTTTTTGAAATCTTATTACTGGTTGCACTGCCTTGATCTCAGATGGAACTTTCAATCAAAAAGGCAATCAGAAGGTTATACATTCGTGAGATTCCCTGCAAAGCCAACGATCGCATAATACAACATGTTGCAAAGGACTACTTGCCTCCAGTCCTTATGTGGCTATAAAGAGTAATTGGCTACTTAGCTCTCAGCACCCGCTTTCCTTCTCCAAAATACAGATAGCCCAGCTCTCTGTGGAGTCTCAGTGTGGAGTCGGCTGCTCCTAGGAGATTTCTAAGTCTCATGCAGAGACTTGTCTTACTTTAAGCATATGATTAAGCAAACTCTCAAAAGACACATTTGTCTCTTTCTGAGGATCCTTGCCTCACTGGGGATGCTGATGAATCCAAGCTTCCTTCCATGTTATATACACACATACACTTACCAATCTCCTCTTTTTTGTTACAAATCATTTTTACTGTAAAATTTGTATCATAGCACAATTTGGTGTGGGAAAAGTAACATATGTATATAATTTATAGCATGCTTCAGCCATCTTATCATAAAACATCTTAAATGTATATTGACCGTACTCATAATGAGAATTTTTATAACTAATGACTTATTAAAGTTTGGTAATATGATGTTTTTGTAGAGAGCAAAGAAAATTATTTGCTTACATAATATGAAAAGCAGTGGCAAGAGTTGACCTCATGTTGCATCCAGCCATGCAGGGTTACCTCACTTCCTCAGACAAGATCCTTGCAGTGAAGTAAGCAGAGGGAGACTACTTTGTTTCACATAGAAGTTGACACAGAATTTTTGGGTGATTATTAGAGGACTGGTGATTGGGACATACAAATACCATGGACACAACTATATGAGTGTCGAATGAAAATATTATATTTGATAAATTACCATGCATGTGTGTACAGATTCATTCGACGTGTCACTATTGCTAGCATGAAAGAATTTCATGAATATAGAATGATAATAAACTTAAAATATATTGCTTGAAAACTTGAGGACTTTGGATCTCCATTTTCATATTTTGAATTTGGAAATTCTAGTGAGATTTTTGCTAAATTAAATGTTATAGCTTAATTGTATGTCTGTGGATCTTTGAATATAATTTAAATTCAGAGTACTCTAAAAGCACATTTCACATAACCAACCTGTGTTGTCTGTGTGTAACCATGGGCAACAACATGTTATCCAGCATATTAAAACTTTAGATTGGCTTTGATGCACAAAATGCTTGCATGGTAGTGGAAAGAAATAGGAAGTTCATGTCTCCATGCTATCTTCCTGGTCAAAAAAATATTTAAAAGCAGATCTGGAAAAATGGTTCAGTATGCATTGCCTCCTGCCCACAAGCACTATCATGTGAACATTGTTCTATTGAACATCAACACTATGGATGGTGGTTTTATATTCCTAGAAGAGTGTGATATGTCAGTTAAATATGTCTCCATACAGCAATCTCCTACAAAGTAAAGAAAGATGAATTTGAAGTAAAAGGAGAAAATTCAAAGTAATTCCAACTTGATTTCTAGTATGAAAGAGAGTTGTGTTTTGGATTTTTATTGTTACTATAACTGATGTTAATAATTTTTATTACTCTTGCTAATCTGCTATATACAAAAGTCACTGTAGGCTCTCCCCCTAACCTCATAAAAAGTGTTCAGTAGCCACTGAGGTAAGTATAAAGGAAGTGCTATGATCAGGCAATAGGGAACAATGAGGAGGTGGTAAGCCACTGGGCACCCATTAAATTTTTGTTGACTGTTTAGTCACTTTGTTTCTGTCATGGTGGAGACAGCTTCCACAAACCATTGTCCTCCATCTCCCAGCCAAATCTATGCTTTCCTTGGTTAACCCAAGCTAAGAATTGAAGTACCAAGTGACAATAGCCCATAGATCTTGTTCTAATGAATTCTCTAAGGACCAAGAAAAGAATGGGTTTTATATCTGCATTGTAATCTAGGTTCTTTCTCAAAATCCTGTTCTCCAAACCCTTCTTTACATTTTGTACTGTAATCTCACCTATATTCTTTTCCTATGTATAATTGCCTTGTCATCTTTTATCATTTTCTGCTAACTCCACCCCAGTCTCTGCCTCCAGGGGCCCCAAAGACATACTTCACTGTCTTTTAGGTACAGTATTTATTTTTATGTCTCCAATATTTTCTTGCTATGGGACCAATAGCAATCCATTTCTCTTCTCTGGTTCTTTATTATGATAAAGACTCTTAAAACTAAAAGTGCCTCACAGTGTAATTTGACTGCACAGTTTGAAATTTGAGTTGGAGTCAATAGTTCTGCCAAGAAATCTTCATGTAGCTGGACAAAATGATGACAACAAAGGTATTTATAAAAATATATTTCACAAAGTATGAAACAATACAGGAGTTTCTCTGAATACAACACATGGAGTAAATAAACAATATTGCATTAAAGCAAAGTAGAAAAGTAAAATGATCTGCATGTAATACTTGAGTTTTATCATACATTTCCTACTCCTACATGGCAGGTTTGCATTACAAATTAAATATGCTCACATCTTCTAGTGCTGCTCTGTTCTCGTAATCTAACACATTCTGTGCATCACCATGACCAGGGACAGAAGTGTGAAAAACATAAGCAGTAAAGTTATGTACAAATCAGTTCCTGCTTTTAAATCAGCTGAGGGAGGACAACTTGAAGCATTTTTTCTTGGGTGGGGTATTATGTAAGTATCTAAAAGTCTAGAGTTTAAATATTCACAGGAATTAGTATACTTTCAGATGTTTGTGCTTGTAGTAAAAACACCAAATACTAGCATTATGAAGAAAATATAAAACAGTCCAAAAGTTTCTCTGGGAAATGCTGTTCCTGTCATCACCAGTCACAATAACACTTTCTACTCTAAAGAGACTATTACCTCTCCCCTTGATAATATTGCCTGCCATACTTAGCTCATCAAAATGTACACGTATTAAACATTCATTGTATAGATATTAATATAAAACAATCTAAAGGGTTATTAATGGATATAATTTAGTTTTCCCCCATATAATCCCTTAATCCATAGATTACCAACCTTAATAAATAAAAGCATTATTGGACATCAATAAAATATTTATTTTGAAGATTAAACAAATAAATTCACACGCTAGCAATAAAACCATCTGTCTCTGATGTGGTCCACTGTGGAATACAGTTTATCTCTGTGTCCTTGTGGAAGAAGATGAAGTGGAGGGAACCAGGAATCCTGCTTCTAGACACAGCCTGTTTGAATGGCATTTCTCTCCTCCCACCTTTCAGTTGGCATTCCCCACCCTGGAATGGATTACGAACATGTGAATATTTTAAGGCTAGACACAATATTTAAAGATGTTATTCAGTCTCTGGTGAGTGGGGCCAACATTTATGTACAACGTGTGGTCACCGTACCATATAATCTAGGAGGCCTCCCCAAACTCCATAAAGTCATAGCGTACAGCAGACCAAAGTATTGCTTTATCATTTATGACGGGATCCTTATTGGTGAAAGGGAAAAAACCAATTGCACTCATAAAAATCCTTGCAGAAGACACATATCAGCAACGGAATCTTTGCCGGTCCATTTTTTCTAATAAAGCACCTTTTAATTTTGTTTTATTTCCTCCTAAACAATTCTCTAATGATTAACTAAGATCCCAATCTCTGACTGAGGCAGTCAGGTAAATATCAAATATCCAAAGACTTCTAGACACTCCACATACTTAATTCACACTCCACAAAATTTATAACCTCCTAACATATACTTTTTATTTTTATTATTTTTTTGGTTCAACATTAAATGTGGTTGAGTTTATAGATGATTGGTGCTAAACTTGCCTCTAAAACAAATAGCCACATTTGTTGTATCTAAGGGGAGTGACCCTAGAATATTACAGAATGCTCAGTTCCATTGATTGTTTATATAATCCACTGTCAAGTTTCTTTGTCACTTTCACCAACAGAGTAGAGTTCGCCCAGTCTCTTAAAGCGGGGACCCCAGTCACTGAGGTAGTCAAAATTCTGGTCTGAGTCTGATGTGGTAGACTCCAAGGAGCTGAGGGAGCCAGCCACAGACCCTCGGCCTTCATAGCCATAAATCTGAATGGAGTCATATGGTGGGGCCGTGGGGTCATTATCTGCCTCATGCAGCCTTACATTTATAAATTCATCGACATCAACACCATTTGGAACTGGAGCAAGCCCTTGCCTTGGCATAAACTGCAAATCTGGTTTAATATCCTTACGGGGTAAAAATCCATTAATTCCATCTGGGTTTTGCAAAGTTGCAATGTCAAAAGCCTCTGTGTCCTCCTCCCCGCCTCCTTCATCATCATAGCGGATGATGTTTTCTCGAACGTCTTCATCATCTTTGATAATTAATGGCTCATTTTTATGCCGCCTCAGGGTAACGAACAGAACCACAATGACTGCAAGACAAACAGCAAATCACAGTGAGTCAACCATCACTTCCTGCCACAATCAAAGCAGAGAAGATGATAGGGAAGACTAGCACTTTAAAAAGCACATATTTACAACTTTTTCAATCCTGCACCTCGAGTCTATTGCTTTAGTGTTCAGCCACACTGACACCAGACTGTCAAAATCTTTAACAACAAATTAGACTAAACAATTATTGGAATGATAAACACTAAATTTTTGTACATATTACTCTGAATCACTTTTGTTTAGTAAACATTTAATTGTGGTGGTATAAATTGTGTATAATCGGGAATCAGCTATAATGTGAGCCCTAGAAAATAGAAAATAGCATCCAAGCGTGGTTAACACATTAAGAATATTCTGTGAACTATTCAATATCCTTGGTTTCTGTCTATGTTTCTGACACATAGTATGTATGATATTTGAGAAGTTCTTTTTATAATGGTGTTGCTGCTGGTAGCAGTGATGTTTTTAAGCACTCAATCACTGCACTAGGGCAACAGTGCCTATTATAATAATTATTCTCCAGTTAAATGATAGATTACTTTCATACAATATGTACATTGTTACATAGGTAATATCTTATAGCCAATGCCAATTGTCAATCCTCTGTCTAGAAAGGTTGTCCCCAGTGTAGGGCAAGAGACAGGACTATTACCAAAGTAGTTGACTAGCCAAATGAATCATGAACTGACACAATCCTGAAGACAGTTTGTTTTTCAAGATAAGTAAAGTCATAATTACTTCTTTGATATTTCCTTAGAAATAAAGTTCCAGATTACATGCTTTGGGGCCACAGAGTCTTAACATGTGGCCCAGATGACATGGAACCCCAGGATTTCCTCTTTCTCCAAAGTGCTAGATTACATTACAGGGATGATTTCACTGTGTTCATGCTTATTCATATTTTTATAAGGAGAATTTTGAATGGAAAGGTAGTAGAACTTTTCTCTCAATCTGTAGTCATTATTGTAATTTTACCTTGTATCAATGAAAATATCTATAAAATAAATGTTGTTTTAAGGATATGTTTAAGGATATGTTATGTTTTAAAGATATGTTTATCTGCCTGCTTACTTTCTTTGTATCTCACTGAACTCTGAGATCCAGTGATGCAATGACTCAATATGCATGTCATTTATATTCAGTGGTAATGGGGATACTGGAAAACTACCTCTTGAACTAAACTCATTTATATCCTGCTATTTGCAGGCCTTTGTGTGTAACTGGTGTTGGAGTGAGTATAGAGAGACCCATTCCCAACCCCACTGTCATAGTGGTGATGGTTTTGAAGAGGCACAAAAAATCTTTCAACCTAGACAAAGTTTTCACTACCCTTTCTCACTTTGTCTTTTCATATAACTTCTGACTTTGAGAGTTCTTCTTCCATTAAGGAATGTTGAATAATTCCAGGTTACAGATTGATATCTTTATTTATAGTCAGTTATGATACTAGGCTATGAAGTTGATACCCACCTAGCAGCAAAATGATGCATGCTAATATGGCAATTAAGGCGCCCATACTGAGTCCAATAGGAAGGACATAAGCTTCAACATTGCATGACTGGACCACACCATCATTGCTACAACCACAGACTCGGATAGTCAAGGTACTGGTGCTGCTCAGAGGGGGATTCCCACTGTCACTGATCACTATAGGTAGAAGGTAGACTTCTTGCTTCTGACGATTGAATCCATTATGCTTTGCCAAAATGCTCAGGGAGTTATCTAGAAAAATGAAAAAGGACAGTTATTTGCATCATTTTGCAATGTATGTCCAGATTGTACTTCTTTTTCTAGGCCACAGGTCCTGTAAACCTTAAGCTACTTCCAAATACTAAAGACTCATTACAGCTTCTCTTCCCTTACTTCTCTCACCTTTATCAACTGACATGAACCAAAATATCCACACTGAAGTACAGTGTATGAATGGAATTCAGTGATAAAATAGGAAGAGTTTGCATTTCCTTGTACATACAAAACAGATTTTATAAAACCAATCTTCAAGGAGTTTTCCAGAAGGCACATGTTATATCATCTTCCATAGAGAGATGTGAATTTATATGTTATCAGAGAAGTTAGTTAGGTATAGCATTACCATAATGAAAAGGTCTGCTTGCAGCTGGGAGATGGTGGTGTGCAAGCCTTTAATCCCAGCATTTGGGAGGCAGAATTTGAGAACATCCTGGTCTACAAGAGCTAGTTCCAGGACAGGCTCCAAAGCTACACATGGAAAACCTTTTTAAAAGAAAAAAGGAAAAAAAATAAAAAGAGTCTACTTGAGAAGCTGAAACTCTGTATTGAAAGATAGATTGAAAGGAAATATGGATATGCAAAGCTAAGTTTATTGACTACATGATACTTAAACAGCAGTCAGTATGTCCGGAAGCATTTATCTAGAGATTAGAAAAGCCATACTTCTGTCCATCAGAGGAGATACACAATTAATATTAAATTTCTACAGATTCCTTTATGTATGGTTGTTATTTAGGCAAGAAAATGGGATGTAAAAGTAGAAGTTCCCTTTTGCATTAGTTATACAGGAATTAGTGTTGGCTACGTGAAAGCTACAACTGTTAGCATTTATGTAATATGTGATATTGTTATTTCAGTTTGAAGTAAAATTAGTTTATGAGAAATGACTAGTTCCATACTTGTGTTCCCTGCAGCCTAGTCTGGGATCAGCATATGATTACCTGTTCAGTGGGTTTCCTCAGGGCAAGGCACCTGTGGAAATGGACTCTCACTAGGCAAAGCCCAGTAGTCAATGGAACAGCACAGGAATTGGAAAAATCTTTGCAGCAAGCAATCTCTTTCCTTTCCCATTATATTCATGATTCTTTGGACAGTTTTTAGTTTGACTTTGTCAGTCACACATGCAATAGCTGTCATTTTCCCTAGAAATTCTGCTCTTTCTCAAATATTTTCCCCTAAGATTCAGCAGGAAGTTAATGCTTCTCAGATCTCTTATCTGTAATTACTAATCCTAATCCTGGGAACTTTTTTCACTCAATAGAGTGAAAATTGCATATGAAAAAGAAATGCTTGGAACAGTAATGATGTCCCACAGTTGTTCTGAAAAGGAGAGTAGGATCTGCATACACAGAATAGGGGAAAGCCTCAGGAATACATATAGTGCCAACCGTTGAGATATGTTCCCTAGACACCAAGCATAAAATCATTGGTAGGACTTGGTATGCTTCAAGAGGAAAAACTACAGTGTAAATGTGCAATAGACAGATCCATTTTTGCCATATATGGGAACTTATATTGATGGAAGACGTATGGTATAGTGAAATGGAAAAAGAGTGCTTTGTCCAAAGTCAGACTTTTATGGAGAGATTGAGAGATGGGACACTCTTGTTGTAAAGGGGAACTGTATGAAAGCATATCTTTCAGATATGAAGGAATTGTCTGTGTTTGAATATTGTCCTGAAATCATTGCGACCACATCTATTACATTTAACTTTGTAGCCATAAGTAGCTGACAGCTGACATAAGTGCTGGGAGAGCAGGATGTTTCTGACTCGATAGTTAGTTTAGTCTGCAAAAAATGCTGAACTCTGTGTCTAGAATAAGATTATTCAGGGGGTGGAAGGCGTATTTGGGGATGCTTAATAAAGGGGAACAGTGGGGGCTTTTATAGTGATCACAATCTATTCCTTAAATTGTGATATATTTCTTAAAGTAAAAAGTAGAAGCCAATAATAAAGCTGTTCATGTAGCCCTGGTCATGGGGGGAGACGCTCTGTTCAAATATAAACATGGTCTGAGCTACCCAGGGCCACTTGACTGCAATTCAGTTGATGGTCAAAGTTTTCCTTGTGTCAAAGTCCCTTCCCCATTTCAGGACCTGAACTCAAGCAGAGGTTGGATCTAGAAACGAGCACTGTAGTCATTTACATCTTCACATGAATGGCAGTCACATTACATATATTTTAGTCTGTCCTTTTATTTTAATCAATAAAAGACACATCATTGTTCAAAATGGGAACCCTGATTATCTCACAATAGTATTTTGGTCAAAATAAAAAGAAAAAAAACTGTGCTAATATTATTTGAGAATAAAATCACCATTTCAATCCAGGAATTTTCCAATATTGACAAACTCACAGACATCATAATGCTGGGTTAATTCATTTTTGTCACTAAATGATATCGCCTATGATTCCAAAGTTGTCCAATTTCTGGTCATCAGTGTCCTAATGATATCTAAAACAGTCAAATAAATGGAAAACTATTGCATTCAAATGACTTTATTATGGTGAGCCCTACCATATAATAACCTCTATTAGAAATCTGTAAAAAATGGAAATCATTCTCCAAAATAGATGCTTAACTATATCTAATTTTATTTATTTAAGATATAAGCATGCTTATAATGCTTTACTAGTATGTAGTAAAACAGAAATGCACATATTTAATCTTTTTTTTCTAAATTTCTTTTGATTGTGCCTCATTATATAGCAATTCGCACAACAAAAAAAGTTTTCTAATAGAGTTAAGCAGTGATATAACAAATGATCTGGTAATCTTTTTTTTCTTCATGACCTAGAAGGAAAACCAGTCAACTAAGAGCAGGGCAACATTATCTCAACACAGATACAGAATCCATAGTTGGTTTGTTATTTTCAGAAAATGCATGACAAATTTGAGTATTATTAATTAGCACAGGAATTATTAGTTGGATGGCATATTGTCCTGTAGTTCAGAACAAAAGATATGAATTGTTTTTCATCATACAAAATTAATAAAACTGTAATGAGGCTTTTTCTCTAGGTGATTGTCTTTTTGTGGCTGATGTTATTTTTACGAGAAACTATTGCTACATATTCTCTCTTTAAAGTAGTCTACACTGATAATTGAAGCTGCAGCACGAATGTTATTTGGTGCAAACCAAAACCTTCACTTGCTCAGTAAAGCATCAGAGGATCCAATATTCACTCCTACTTGAATTTCTGTACTAATCCTAGATTGCACTTGTATTGTCCTTTCCACACGCATGCAGTTATTGTGTAAAGATGGACATGTGTCATTCCTCTTGGGTTTTACCAGCCAGGCCCAGGCAACATGAAATCATTGTTTTTTTTTTTTTGTTTCTTTGTTTATTTAATTTTTATTTTTTAATTATTTGTGTTTGTGCATATTACTGATTTACTTAAGTTTATTTTTAGTTAACTAAATTAAATCACCACTATGGAATATATTTACACTGTAGAAGAACAGTTTCATGCACATAGAGCTAATGTACCTGTATATGGAGAGTAAAAATTTAAAAGGACATATTTCAAAATGTTCTTGTAGGTATTTTTTCTTATAACTTACATTGGGTTTTTATTTTATTAATTTTTAAAATTTAATCTTATCTTTCTCCTTTATGTTTTTTTTTATTCACGCATATACCTTTAGTTGATTAAGGTTGTTTTGGGTAATGGTCACCTTCTGGTTTATAATAACATATGGAATTTACATTTTCCCATACAGATAATTGATTTGCTCAAGGTTAATTATTGTCTAAATTCATTTTTCCCATTGGTACTGAATGGTCTGTTACAAATTAAGTACTCTGGGCTCACACCACTTCAGGGATATCTACTTATTTCAACCTTCTTATCTTTTTCAATCTTGCATTTCTGGTATCCTTTCTAACCAGAAAATATCATACTTAAACCCTGAGGTTTCTCAGAGATTTTTCTTCTACCATGTGCTTCTGTATGAAACTGAGCTATTATGGTCTATTTGCTGTTCTCTGACAAATATAGATGCAGATTGCCAGTCTCCACAAGAATTCTTTTAATAACTTTGGTAAAAATGTATGAAAACTAAAATATATCTTATATAATGTAGAATAATTTGGAGTGCCTTGATAAATATAAGGCTTTTAGTCTTTACCAAATCATCATTTATTTTATTATATTATACATGAATATACTATATTAGATTCAAGTAATATTCTATCTTTTGTTTTATTATTTCTATGCTCTATAGATTACTTCTATAGTAAATACATTTTGTTATATTGTAAAAATCATTTTGTCAATAACTGTTGCTGTTATATAAAATGTAACTATTTTGTCAATTGCTTTTATTTTCAAAAATCTTAAATAATTTTAGTTTTAATAATACAATTTTTATTACATCATTTAATGCAGTATGGAAACAGAAGGAGTTCCGGGTGATACTCATGAAAACTACAAAAGGATACAACATTAGAAATATAAGATTGTTCAGAAGTAAAGGAGTAAATAAAGAAATATGTATTCAAAAATAAATAAATAAACATATCACAGTGAAAACACTGCAAAATGGAAAAATCTTGAAGACAAGACATAGAGAGAGACAAAGAGAGATAGAGACAGACAAAGAGAGATGGATTGAGTTATTATCAAGTGTCAAAATAACTGAATTTGTTACCAGTATTTACTAAAGGAAGTGTTCTACATACTAAAAGCCAAGAATTGCAAGTGGTATTCAAACTGTCATGTAGGAGACTGCAGATAGATCCATGTCTATTGCCATGCACAGAACTTAAGCCCAAATGGATCAAAGACCTCAACATAAATCCAGCCACAATGAACCTCTTAGAATAGGAAGTGGGAAGTACCCTTGAATGAATTGGTAAAAGAGACAGCTTCCTGAATACTACACTGTAGCACAGACATTGAGATCAGCAATTAATAAATGGGACCTCCTGAAACTGAGAAGCTTCTGTGAGGCAAATTACACAG